TTAATTTTAATTAAAGACTCGATAAATACGTCTTTATTAAAAGCAATTGCTTTACGAAACGATTTATTAGACTTTAACGATTCGAATTATATTGCTAAACGTTTCGCTAGTTTTTTAGCTAAAAGCAAAAGCGAAGGTGCCTTAAGACTGCTAAAAGCAAAGAAAAGTATCGTAAACGAATAAAAACTTGGCTTTAATAAAAGAGCGCGCAAATCATACTTTTAAATTGTTATTTAAAGCCGAGGCTCGGAAAGCTAAGCTATAAGCCGATTAACGAGAGCTTTTACGTTAATAATCGGCGGAGATTTAAACCGAATAATCAAAAAGGAACTTTTAGATCTTTTTAAAGCGAGCATTAATAATAAGAAATTAAATTATAAACACTTTAGATAAGATTTCGACTTTAATAAAAAGCACTCACTTATTAATAGCCGCATTAAAAAACGCGCGAAAATATACGCAAGTATTAATAAGCTTTTTTTAAATAATTCTCGCGTCGATTCGAACTGCTATTCGCGCGTTTTAAATTTTATATCGACTTTCTAAGCTAATAACGAACCCGTGCGCGAAGATAACAAAGATTACAAAACATTATACGCTATTATAATAGCTGCTACTTCGTTTAAGCTATTATTAAAATAGCTTAACTCGTAAGAACGAAAACATTTAAAACTTTTTACTTATTAGAAAAAGCTATAACGGCATTTATATAGCAAAGAGTTTATAAACGAAGCTTTTATAAAGCTAAATAATCTAAAAAAAAAGAATTACTAAAGAATGATTTTCGAGAGCGAAGCTAAATTAAAACTTATACTTTTTAAATAAGTATTTATATATAAGACTAGCTCGTCCGAAAAGATCGTAAAGTTTAAATCGAAAATTATTATTAAAGATAACCTTTAAAACGAATCTATTATTTATTTAATTTACGCTGCTACGCTAATAGCTAGATCTTTTAAAATTATAATAGCTATAGCAGTAAAATTTAATTTAAAAATAAAACAGTTCGACGTCGTTAACGCTTTTATTAACGCCTTAAGACATATAAATAGCGTTTTAATTACGTATTATCTTTTTAACGGTTTTAAGCAAAAAGGTATGCTTGTAAAAGTCGATAAAGCTTTATATAAACTTAAAGATTCGCTAGCTTTATAATATTTCGATTTTATAAGCATACTCGATAAATTAAAGCTTACGCTACTTAATAAAGAACCGTATATTTTTACGAATCTAAATAAAACGATCTTTATAGCGTTTTATATAAACGATATTCAAGTTATATATTATCACTTTAACTTTTTTAAAGCGTAAGAGATTATTAACGGTCTTAATAAAGCGTATAAGATCGAAGCGATAAAAGATATTAAATAGTTTTTTAATATAAAAGTCGTCCGCGACCGTTAGCGAAAAACGCTAACGCTTATATACGACGCTTATATTAAAAAAATAGCTAAGAAATTCGAACTTACGGACGGACGCTGCTTAGCAACTCTATTATTATTTTATAATTTAATTAAGAATAAAAGGATAGCTTCGCGAAAGCAAGTGAAAAAGTATTAAGAAAAAGTTGAATCCGTGCTATATATAGCGATTATGCTACGCTTAAATATAGCTTTTATAGCTTCTTAACTCTTTCATTTTAATACTAATTCAAGCGCGGAGCATCTTCGAATTATAAATTAATATTTGCGATATTTATTTAGCTCGCGCTTTAAAAGTATTTAATATAATTAATTTAGCAAGTCGGAGCTAATAATAGCCTTTAACGCTTCTTACGCCGATGACGAAAAGATAAAGCGATTTTTTTAAAAGTATATTATGTTTTTATTCGAAAGTGCGATCTTTTAAAAAGCTTTAAAGCAAAATATAATTATTATATCATTTATTAAAGCGAAGCTTTTTAGCATAGCTCTTACGGTAAAAGAGATTATAGCGCTTTAACGATTTTTTAAAGAGCTGCACTTTCGATTCGCGGCGCTTTAAATAATCTATTATAATAATTAATAAATAATTAAGCTTATAACTAATAAAAAGGAGCGTATCTTTATTAAGCTTCGCTACGTCGATATTTATAATATATAATTGCGCTAAAAGCACTTCAAAAAGAGCTTTTAAGTTTAATATCTTTTTATTAACAAGATGCACGCTAATAATCTTATTAAAAACTTAATTCGATAAAAATTTAAAAGCTTTATTAAGCTTTTAAATTTATAAGACGCTCGCGCGTCCGTCGAAAAGCTTTAATAGCACGTATATGCTATTTACTTATTACATTTTTTTTTTTTTCATTTGCACGTAATTTAAAAAAAAACATTTATTTAGCAATCTTAATTATTATTTTACTTTATTTTATATGCTTTTACTTTTCGCTTTTTATAATAAAAGATTAATTAAAGCTCTTAGCAATCTTTTTACTTTAGCTCGGCGCTTCGCAAAAGTTATAGCAATAGCGGGCGCCGCTGCGAGAGCGGCAAGCGCAATAATTAGCGCAAAAAAAGCGACGATAATAAGTGCGACGAAAGCGACGAGAGCTGCGAAAGCGACGAGAGCAATAAAAGCGGCTAGCGCAAGCGCAAGAGCTGCTATAGCAGCAGATTAAAGCTTTTGCATAAAGTCCGAAAAGAAGTTTTGATTAAAAAAAGCTATTTAAATTAGTTTATTTCGAAAATCAAAAAGCTTGACTTACGAAAAAGTAATATGCTCGAAGCGCTTCGTATCACCGGACTACGGTTCGCTATTACAAGACTATTTAATCTAATAAAGGCTATATTTAAATTAAAAGTCTTAAAAGCAAAAGCAAAACCTGCAAGGCTATCGAGATTACTTTTAAAACCTTTATTTTTATTTGCTAAACCGCTTAGACTGTTAGCAATACTTTTTAAAAAGGCAGCATCTAAAGCGAGCTATTATCGCATAGCATTTCGAAGATTTCGGCGAACTCTTTATATAGTACTATTGTTTTTAACGCTTACGAAGTTTTCGAAAGCGGTATTAGCAGCGGCAAAAGCAGCGGTGCAATTGCTATAGCTACTTTTAATATATCGGAGATAGCGAATAGCGCTCGTATCGCAATTATAACAATCTTTATTAAACTTCGATATAATCTTATTATTAATGCATTTAATGCATTTTAAAGCCTTAACGATCGTTAGCATAAGCAAGCGCTTAGTAAAAAGGTTTAAAAGAAAAGGCGAAGGTTCGAAGATAAAAGTGCGAAGTATAGCAGCCGCCGTAGCTATAGCAGCAGTAATAATTAAAGCAGATAAAGGATTCTTTTAATAATTAGCATAGAAATATTAATCTATTAAAAGCACTTACTTTTAAACGGCCTCGGCCGCGCTTAACGATTTTATTAAATTAAGTTACTTGCTTAAAAGGCATTATATAGATAAATAAAAGTTAAGTATTTATTATAATAAAAAAAGACGCGCTTTTACTTATATAGCAACGCAATAAAAACGGCGTTAAAGATCTCCGTTACGTAATAAGACCGATTTAAAAAAGAATTGCATTCTTAATTAACACTTAATCAATAATAACAACCGCTATTTATTTGTTTTGGATTGCGATGACAATCTCTTTTATTTATATCGAGTTTAAAAAGCTTAGTCACTCATTTTTTTTTTCTTTTTTATTTGCTTATAGCTTAGCAGCTACTTTGCTAACTTAAAGGGTATATTATGCGGAATAAGCATGGTTTCACTTAAGCTATATATAATATATTATATGACCTCGCTTAATAGCGCTCTTAGCACACTAGAGCTTCCAAGTACATATACATAAATCTTAACGAGCTTCTTAGATAGAATATACCAAGCTTTATTTAATCTATAGAATCTCCTCTTGATCTTAGTGCTGGTAAGCACTACATCTAGCGAAAGGAAAAAAAAATAACATTACCACCCTTTTATTATATTATCATTCTTATCGGTCGCGGACGCCCAATCACTAAAACATTTCATATCTATCATCATTTATCATCACATTACGACGTCATCATCATCATCATCATCATCATCATTATTATCATCATCATTATCATTATCATCATCATCTTCTTCTTCTTCTTCTTCATCTTCTTCTTCTTTCTTTAAACAACAAAGAACTCAGCCCAGCTCAGCTCAGCCAAGCTGCCCTACCCTGCCCTGCCCTGCCCTACCCTGCCAGTAACATAAACAGATAGATAGATACCTCTACCAAAGAGTGCCATGCTAGGCTGAGCTAGGCTGGCGAAGATGCCTACACGCCTACCCACCTACCTACCTACCTATGCATGCATGCAAAGGGGGAGAGCAAAGCAGAGCAATCTCCTACGGAGTAGCGGTAAGCTAGCGAGCTACCCTGGGAGCGAGGAGGGTGTGGGTGCCTACACCACGTGGGAATTTTTCTTTTCCCAATTGTCGGGCGCAGTTACTAGAGGGAAGGGAGGTACAGGGAAGGGTAGGAAGGGGAAGAAGAAGACTACCCTCCGTACTCCGTAATGCTGAATGAGAATTGCTTGCTAGAAAGCTGCTGCCCTCATGAATGAATGACCGCGAAATGTTCTGACTATTGCTTCGATCATAAACGATGCTGTCACCGATATATGGATGCCGTCGTGTCTAGGCAGAGAATACCTAGTGTGCACGCATACCTTTATGTGCAACGTCACCCGCACGTGGAGACCGCACGCGTGCTCTCTCTCGTATCGACACGAGACGATTCAGAGAATAAACGGAAGACGTATAAGGTCGTCGCATCGATGCCCTCCGGAAGTTGAATCCAGAGATGGCAGCAAAGACTCGCTGCGAGTAAGTTGTGTCCAAGGAAGACGTCATGTTGCTAGATCAACACTTTAACCAACCGAAGTTTCTTTTACAGTTAAGAGCAAAAAGATGAGGATAAAACCAAAGGTGAAGGATAATTATGAATTTCTAATAGGAAAAGCACGAGCCATTACAGCATCTCTATGTACATCGCTGTCGTCAACATGAGGGGGAACCTTAACCGAGGTCGCCCATCTACTTCATGAAACCGGCCTTTCCATCTCCATCCGCATCCTTCATGGGATTTATCTTGTCCATCAAGCTCGGCTTCTCCTTGGCAGCGCCAACGGTAGTCCCGGTGGCAGCCGAACCAGTGTTGTGATGGCGAGACCCGTGCGTGGAGGAAGAGACTCCTCCCTCAGAATCGGTCATCCCGGTGGAAGCTGAACTAGTGTTATGATGGCGAGACCCGTGCGTGGAGGAAGAGACTCCTCCCTCGGGCTCGGTCAAGGAAGTAGTACCATGAGCACCAGCACCACCGAGGGTACCTCCCACCGAGCGAGGCTCACCTCCGAATGCATCGGTGCGCTCCTCACGGCCAGAAAGAGATCCGCCCTGGCTTCGGAACTCGTCCATGGTGACCGCGGGAAGAGCAGTGGCTGTGTGATGCTTGGCCTCGTTCTGGTGGACCTCGTGGACGGGGATGGTGGTGTGGACCACAGAGGGTTGGATAGTCTCCTTCTGGATCACGGGTTGAATGGTCTAGAAACGGGTGTTAGAAAAGATCTTGACGTAGGGATAGGCTAAGTTGAGGCAACATGGGGAAGTCTTACTTCATGGACGTGGTGGTGGACGTGCTCGCCCGCCACGGTGGCGTTGGCAGAAGAGCTGTGCTGCGTCTCGCCGACGGTTCGGGTATCTCTGAACTGGGCTTGCTCGGCCGCGAGGCGCTCCTTGACGTGATCGTCATTGCCATGCTTGAAGCTGCGGTGCTCGACACCGGCCATCTGGTGGGTGTGTTGCTCGGGGAGAACTTGCTTGTCCAGGATAGGCTGGACGGAGGTGTGGTGATGGTCCTGGTGCACCTCACGGTCGACAGCCTTTTGGACTTCCTCGTGTTGCGTGCGGGTTACATGCTCCTGAGTCACGGCCGCGTTGACAGTCTATCACGGCGTCTGCGTCAACGATGAAGGGTCTAACGGAGAAGATGAAAGGCAAACTCACCTCGTGGACGGTGGTGTCATGCTTGCCATCCTTTGACAGGAAGCTCCCGACTGCAGCCTTTGCCTTCTCCATGTTGGTAGATGGGGGTATATGTGAGTGGTAGGTTCGGGGAGGTTGAAGATTGAAGTTTTGGTTGGAGGTTGAAGCTTGGGTTGGAGGTTGAAGTTTAAGCAAGATTGAGTATAAAGCAGCAAACAGAGCTGAGGAGGAGAAGGATGGTGATGAAGATGTAGAAAACAAGTGACATCTCTCGACATAATATAGCAACTGAAGCTAGCTAGCTAGCTAAGCTCAGCGTAGCTTAGCTTAGCTTAGCTTTGATCATTACGTCGGTCGTCTTTCGTCATCGAGAGAGAGGAAGGAGAAAGAAGAAGGTTCAAACAGAGAAAAGCAGAGAACACAGCAGGATCTTTCCCGGCCGGCTGCTGGCATGTGCTTGGTATGCGGTTTCGTTCGTTCGCTCCTTCGTTCCTGGCGTCTCGGGCTGGAAACGGCATAAGGCAAGTGGCGGGGAGAATCATGGGGTAACCGCCCGAGCCTACATTCCTTGTTTTGACAGCAGAAGTGGCCAGCCAGGGGCGCCAGGCCGGCCATGGAATGATCCCACTCCACTTCACCATCGAACCCGCTTACCCAAACATCATCTCTCCACGAGACGACTCGTGGCTGTCCCGATGACATCGATGTGCATTGGGCAGCAGCAGCAGCATGAGCTCGCCTAAATTGAGCAGAACCGTCACTACCGTACATGATGCGCAAAGTAAACAAAAAACAAACGTGTCTCACCTTTTGGCTGGCGGTATACAATCATGAGACAAAGCCCGCGCCGAGAGACGACACCGCTCCCGGATAGACGCCACAGCCGCCCGCCGAGAATGAGGTGCGATGTGAATGATGGCTTGATCGGTCGGATCGGATCAGATCAGCGGGTAGCAATCGTGGATGATGACGATTGTAGGGATTTCAATCCGTCTCGGGGAGCTTTCAGAGCACGCAGAGGTGGACGAGAGGGACGAGAGGGACGAGAGGGACGAGAGACTTTTCCACGACACCGGATGCGGTGCGTCAGTTCAGTCTGAGTAGAGAGGCCGCGGGAGGCCAGACTACGGTAGGTTGACGATGATGACTAGGTGGACGGACTAGCTGGACTAGCTTGACTAGGTCTGGGGACGGCGGGATGTGCCTAGACCGACGACGATCAGTGGGGACGAATCGCCAACCGTGTTCCCAGCCACACCATCACAGGTCGGTCGGTCGGTCGGTCGGTCGGTCGGTCGGTCGGTAGATTCTGGTATTGAGCTGATCGAGATAGAATCGAATCGAGAAATAGAGCATACATAGGTCGGACAGGACGCGCGAGTGAATGGGTAAATCCCCCCGTGATCATAGAGATTCTTGATCGAAGATCAAAAAGATATTCACCCAGCTGCGGAGCCCATGAATTTCTGAATTTCTATCGAGATTCCTCTCTCCGATCCTGCGAGGCAAGCAAGCCACCAGGTCAGAGCATCCGGTAGGCGGCGGCACGGCCTCATGCGATCAATAATGCCATCACAGACCGCCCACAAATGGCCGTGGGCTCAGGCAGAGACAGCCACTCAATTTAACTGCGGATGTGATTATAATGGCTGATGAGATTGTTGCTGTCGAAATGGTCGCTTGTGTCCTTGATGTGGATTATTATTATTGTTGTTGTTGTTGCTGTCGTTATTATTGTTGCTATCGTGTACAGAGTAGTTTGACATCCCCAGCTCTCGCTCTCGGGCTCTCCCCTGTGCGGATCTCAACTTAACCCTCCCCACTCCACTCCACTCTACTGGCAAGGGAACCCACATCCCTAACCCCCGCCATGGCATCTTTCCTCAGGGGTCTCTTTTCGAGCAAGTCGACTACCGGTACTACCGGTACATCAACCTCAACATCAACATCTGCATCGTCACCACCACCACCCACCAACAACAGCCGGGTCCAGGGCCACGCCTACGACTCGGCCGTCGCATTAGATCCGCCCGTCCGCGGATCCTTTCCGGTGGCCGGCAATGGTCCCAACGTGCTCGACGACATCCAGAAAACCCGGGCTCGAAGAGACTCGCGAAGATACCCCCGGCAATCCATCGTGGTCGTCCCCACCCCCCGACCAGAGATCCGAAGTGAGGGACCGCGAACGACAACGCACAATGATGGTCCTACCGCCGTCGACGGAGAGAAGAGGGCGAAAAGGATGAGTTGGACGGGCGGAATGGGCAGGGCACGCTTGGAGTCCGCGACAGGGTCACCGTCGAGTCTTCTCAGGCGCCGCAGCGACAGCAAAGGCACAAACAAGAACAAAAACTGCAGCAGCAGAAGCAGCAAACGGGCCAGCAGACCCGGCTTGTTCCGCGCGCCCTCCGAAGAGCCCCCTCCGGTGCCTCCCCTCCCGACTGCAATGGCCATTGAAAATGCGGTGCAAGCATACAAGCTGGAGAAGGGCATCACGGATGGCACGACACGGCACGACCGACATGGCTCGCACACCACCCACCAGTCTTATCTGGATGTCCTGGAAGCACATTCCTCTACTACGCGGAGGCATCGGCCTTCTCGAGAGCATTCTCATCAGAGGACACGCGATGGAGGAGCAGACCAGAACCAGAACCAGAACCAGAACCAGAACCAGAACCAGAACCAGAACCAGAACCAGAACCAGAACCGGAGCCGGAGCCGGAGCCGGAGCCGGAACCTCGACGGATCCGGATCTGAGACGGCTCCCCTTCGTCTGGGTGGCAGCTCTCCACCACCACCAGTACGACCAGCACGACAGCTCCATCATCCGCGGAAAGTCCCAACGCTCTCGGCCCCACCCAAGGACCGTGCCTCGTCGGGATTAGGGCTCGGAATCGGACCCGGACTTGGTCTGGGCCTGGGCCTGGGCTTGGAATCCCATCCACCGGGTCGCGAGGGCCCGAGTGACGACATGATGGCTCTCCGACCCCGCCACCACCACCATCAACAGGGTGCTAGCAGGGGTAAACCCACTCGTTATGCGTCATCCGCATCATCATTTCCACGTGTACCTCCACTTTCCCCTCCACTTTCGCCTCCACTTCCATTGGCACTTCGACCTGTACTTCCCCTTTCTCCCCGCCTTCCACTCCCCCGTGCCCTCTCCCATCCCCACACGACCGACCTCGTCGTCGACGACCACGCCGCCGCCGCCGCCGCCGCCGCCGACGACGACGACGTCAACAACCATCTCATCATGCGTGAGTCGATTCGCCGGCTCATCAGGTCCAAGTCGTTGTCCTCTAAGGCTCGACACCGGGATCGCATGGCCAAGGAGCCCCCGCCTGCGGCTCCAGCCGTCCCGAGCGCCGATGCACCTGCACCTGCACCGGTACCTGCATCTACATCTGCACCTACCCCAACCCCAACCCCGGCCCCGGCCCCGGCCCCGGGCCCGGCTGCCAAAGCCCAAGATCCTCCTCCTCAACCACTCCCCCCCGCGACGCCCTCCGCGCCCGAGGTCAATGGCAAGGCGACGACGAGTCCAGAAGACACCGCCGCGACCACCACTGCCACTACCACCAGCGGCCATGGGCACACCAAGTCAAAGACTGGATCTGTAAGCTATTTCACCTCCCCCAGCATCTGCAGACGTCCGTTATCCCAGCGTTCGATGGAGCATGTACACTCTGCTGTGCGCTCGCGTCTACGCTCTTCCACAGCTACCAAAGCCAACAAGCGACAGGGAATGGTCATTGCGAACTCGAGCACCCCGGTCGACCTCGACGGCGTGGTAGACTTGACCAATACGGTCGACCTGGATGTCACTGAAACAATGATGCCGGGTACGACATTCATGTCCTCTTCTATACAACCTCCCAGGCGTCTCGCCTGTGCTAACGCGCGCTCCTAGCTGTCACCCACGAGCATATCACTCCCGTTCAGAAAAGCATCCGAGAGGAACGCATCTACCGCGAGATCCATACGCACGAAGTCCGCCATCGCATTCTCCCCGTCCTCGATACCCAATTCCTGCCCACCAAACATTACATCGTAAGTGCAGATGGAAAGACTCTGCTCGAGATTCCCGAGCCGGAAGTATACAAACATAAAGTCACAAATGCCATGAACGATACCTGGTCGCTGTCCAAGAAGGCCCCGCCCTCCCGGCCCCGGGGCGCCTCTCTGGCTGCCACGCAGCCGCCCAACTACGTTGCCCTCGTTGCAGACGAAGCAGCCGACAGTCCAGTCCTGGGCCTTGCTCGCGGCGAGCCCGGCCGACCCCCGGCGAGTTCGAAGGCCGCCAAGTTACGAACAGTCAACATGTCCACCGAGCCCATCCTCACCAGCAAGAAAGAGTATGTGACGGCGGAAGGGATTCCCCGCACGGAGTACGTTTGGCACCATCCGCCCGTCTATAAGGATGCCATTGGCCGCGAGCAGCCGGTGTATGCTGGCGCCGGACTCGGGGACGTCACCTCCCCCCACAACCGTTACCACGACGCCCCGGGCACCACGTTCAAGCCTCAGGACGGCGAGGATATGCTTTTCCGGGAAGGAGGATATTGGTCCAAGGGTGCGCTGCCTGGTCTTCCGGAGAGGGCAACTACGTATAAGGATGGTGTGAGCCGGTATGGGCAGGTAGACGAGTTGACGGATGGTGTTAATGGGCTGCAGATGTGAAGTATAACGTTAACTACCCCGCGATTATGTCCTGTATTGATCCCATCCATAGTTAGAGAGATGATAGTGATTTCCCGTCTCTTCCGGGCGGTTCGTATCCATGTACAAATACGTAACACCCCTTTCCATATGATTGTTTCTGCCGCGCTTGCATTTATGATGATTGCGCATGGCTGGTTCATGGTTCTTGCGTGGAATGAATTCTAAAACAACGAAAGCCGCGACTCCCTGCTGAAGTGACACCGGGGGCGTTGTGTCGCAGCCAGTGTCAGTACCCTTATGCTAACTGACTGCGCTCTGGGCCTGGGCCAGGCAGATCCCCGGCGGCAATCGCGAGCAGGCGAGCAAAGATAAAAGGTGAAAAGTTGAATCGAGGCACTGACCTGACCTGACCTGACGTAGCCAGGTGCTGGCTCAAATGTAATACGGCGGGGGACGAGGGACGAGGTTGATTTGGCGATGCGGTTCGCGGTTGGTGACGGTGCAGCAGCGGTGTTTGGATACGAGCACGAATAAAGGAGTCTTGTTTGATTAGACGGTAGAGAAAGGGAGGATCAGGTGGGTAATTATTGACTGACTGGGCTTAGGAAGGGAAAGAAGAGGAGAGGAGAGGAGAGGAGAGGAGAGGAGAGGAGAGGAGAGGAGAGGAGAGGAGAGGAGAGGAGAGCAGTGCAGAACAGAGCAATGGCTAGCTATAGTACGCTTGGAGGAGTCAGAGGATAAGGTAGAACCGCGAGCAAAAGAAGCATGCCAGGCAGGCATGATGACTGACCAGACGGATGCATCAGAAGGTGAATTTCAAGAATTGGACTTCATATCCACTAGGAAAGGTATATTCGGAAAATAAGAATAACTTGGGCAACACCAAAATCTTGCTTGATACACAATAAAGCTGCTTTTATTTCCCTTCCCAACCCTGATTCCCAACTCCTGAGCGCCATTTCCCACCCCCCTTCGCTTGTGCCCCCTTCGCTTTTGCCTTCATGGGGCCAGGACCAAGGCCAAAAGGGCCATGCGAGTATACAGTCCGTATCTCATCTATTCAAGTTAACCAGGATCCACGCGTGTCACGAGAGCGAGAGGACATACCTGTCTGAAATACGCCGCCCGTTGATCGAAATCAACCTCCTCTGCGATTTCATTGTTGCGTGGCAGCGGGTGCATCACAATCATCTGGGGCTTTGCACTCCTCAGAGTCCGGTTGTCGATAACATAGCTATCCTTCAACAGCTCGTACTCCTTTAGATCAGCGAAGCGCTCCTTCTGTACGCGAGTGCAGTACAAGACATCGCTGCGGGCGATGATCTCGGGCGTCAGCTCGGTGGCTTCCACAATCAGTTGTCCACGCTTCTCCATGATAACCTTTCGGATCTCAGCAGGAATGGACAACGCCTTGGCGGAAACGAGCTGGATAGTGACGTCGTAGTACTGGAGTAACTTGATGAGAGAGTGCACGGTACGGCCGTATTTCAGATCACCCGTGAAAGTGATCGTCAGGCCGGTAACGGTTCCAAGCTCCTCGCGAATTGTGAAGAGATCCAAGAAGGCCTGTGTTGGGTGCTCCTTCGATCCGTTGCCGCCGTTGATAACGGGGACTGGGGAGAATTTCCTCGCGACATCGACGCTGCTTTCATCAGGATGGCGAAGGACGATGCCGTCTCCGTAACAGGCCAAGGTACGAATAGAGTCAGCGAGAGATTCGCCCTTTGTGGTGCTGGAGTGCGAAGTTGTGATGGCCACTGTGCGGCCACCCAGACGCTGCATTGCGGCGTCGAAGGAGGCTGATGTGCGGGTTGAGGGTTCGTAGAACATGGTCATGAGGACACGGCCCTTGAGAACTGACAGCACACCTTCACGCTGAACACCGAGGCGCATCTCTTGTGCCACAGTGAAGAGAAGATGGAGATCCTGGCGAGTAAAGTGGTCTACGGATAAGACGTGTTGATTCTTGAAAGGCGAAGAACCAAGCAGATGTTGAAGGGTGGGGGCGAGCGTAGGTTGGAGATAGAGAGGGGTCTCTAGGTCCTCTACCATAGCAGAGCTGCTCTTGTAATGTTGCCGATGAACATTGGCTCCGTCGAGGAACCGTGCTCTGTTCGCAGCACTGGCGGGTGTGCCGAGCTCGGCAAGTCCATGTCCGTAAGAGCTCTCTGAGCTTGGATCCAGAACAGGTGAGCCGGGGAGGGCCTTGACCAGAGCATCAATGGAACTAATCTCCATATCGAAGCGACGAGCAATTGCCTCGATCAAAATCTTGGCGTTCTTGACGTTAGTAACAAGAGGAGTTTGGTAGTCGACAGCCATTCGTCTTGTGCGGTATCCCTTACTCATGTAGTTGGCCGGACGCCGGTAGCGGTTACTAGATGGACAGTTGATATACAAATCGATCATGTTGTTAGCAAGATGCTGCGTCAGTGAGTACTCCGATTTTTGGTCATCGGTGTCCTCCGCGCCCAGGATTTCTAGGTACTGGACAGGGACATTGTGCTCTTGCAGAAAATCAGCAGTTCCAGCAGTGGCGAAGAGCTTGTAACCCATCTTCTGGAGCTTGAATACAGATGGTAACATCTCCTTTTTGTCCTTGTAAGCACCGATAGAGAGGAGGATGTTTCGCTTGGGTAGCTTGAATCCGGTAGAGATCAGAGCCTTGAGATACGCTTCGTACTTGTCGATACCGAAACATGCGACTTCTCCAGTGGAAGCCATCTCGACACCCAACACGGGATCGGCTCCAGACAAGCGAGAGAAACTGAATTGAGGAACCTTGCAGGCAACCGTGTTGGGAGGAAGGGTCGTAGGAGGGTATTCGGCGAATGGAACACCCATGATAGCCTGCGCGTATTGTTATTCATGGCGCAATCAAGAAAATTTCAGGAGAGAATTGTGTACCTTGGTCGCCATAGCGATGACTGTAGGACCCGAGACAGTCAGTAATTGCCAGCTTGGGGGTCATGTTGGGAGGTGGATTATATATTACGTACGATCGACACCCATTACCTTCGAAACAAATGGGAAAGACCTTGAGGCTCGAACATTACACTCGATGACCTTGATATCGTTATCCTTGGCAATGAATTGGATGTTGAAAGGGCCAGTGACATTCAAAGCATCCCCGATCTTGCGGGTGGCTTCTTCAATCCGGCGGATGGTGGTAAGCTCAAGATCTTGGGGAGGCAAGATGAGGGTAGCGTCGCCGGAATGAACACCGGCATTTTCGACGTGTTCTGAGATGAAATGGCCCACCATTTTCTACAATAAATTAGTCCGCGTATGATTCAAACAACGGGAGGCTGTAAAGTCCAGGTTTAGACAGCGAAAAAAGTGCCAGCCACATATCGGTGCCAGCCACATATCGGCGGGAAGTTGGTAACTGCACGCACGCGACATCAAGGACTCTCTTTAGTCTATTCGCTGAGACGAGGGCCAGAGTGCCACGACAGTCCAAGTACATGACTAATAGGAGAAGCAATTTTAAGAAAGGAGCAGTTATGTGACGGCCCCTAGCAATCATCCTTGGAAGGGAGACTTGCGTGACTGCGTGAAAGCAGATAACTTAGGCAAGGCTGGTGCGGTCCGTCCAGGGACGGGTTCGGTGGAAAGGGAGGGGGAAGAGGGAAAAAAAGATACTCACCCCGCGATTCGCAACAGCGTCCATCTCAATCTCCTTGGCGTTCTCGATGTACTTGGTAATGACAACTGGGTGCTCGCGAGAGACTTCAGCAGCCTGCTGGAGATATGACTCCAAATCCGCCTCGGAGTATACGGTATTCATCGCAGCACCGGAAAGCACGTATGACGGACGTACGAGCACTGGATAGGAAACTTTGTCGCAAAATTCCTTCGCCTCCTCAAAGCTAGTCAACTCCTTCCAGGTTGGCTGATCCACCCCAACTGCGAAAAATCTGTTCAGTATACTAATAACCAGAGTTCAGTACGGGGGTTTGAACATACTTCGATCCAGCATTCTGGAAAATTTGTATCTATTCTCGGCAGTGTCAATCATTTCAGGTGAGGTACCGAGGATCTTGACATTAAGACGGTGAAGAGGCAAGGCGATGTTGTTTGGTGTTTGACCACCCATTGCAATAAGGACACCGCTCGAGTGCTCGAGTTGGTAGATGTCGAGAATGGTCTCCAGGTTGATGTTTTCAAAGTAAAGACGATCTGCTTCATCGTAATCGGTACTGACCGTCTCGGGATTGTAGTTCACCATGACTGTCTTGTGCCCAGTCTCACGGAGGGTTCTGATAGCGCGAACAGAGCACCTAGAGTTGTTAGTAGATTCTGGGGAATGGCAGGAGAGAGGGCCTACCAGTCAAACTCCACGGAACTTCCAATGCGGCTGTCTGAGGTCAGCTTCTGAATCCGATATAGTGGAAAAAGGGCCATACTATACACCGGAGCCCAAAACCATGACTCCATGATCGTTGAATGTTACATCGTTCTCGGATCCGTTATAGGTCAGGTACAGGTAGTCTAATGACCCACAGTATTAGCCATGTTTCGATGTCGAAGTCATCATCAAAGACGTGGGATTCTCAAGAACTTACTGGTCCACGCTGGGTACTCTGCAGCTACTGTATCGATCTGCTTGACCACAGGAACGATTCCAGCTTCGACTCGCATGCGCCTGACAGCCAGCTCGTTGGAGCTCCAGAATTTCGCCAGTTGCCGATCGCAGAAACCCAGCTGCTTAGCCTGTCTTAACAGACTCATGGGAACAGTGCCAGCAGTGAACGTTCTCATCGTAGCACCAAAGTCATTGAGACCCTTCAGTCTGCTCAAGAACCACTTGTCGATCTTGGTCATCTCGTAGATCTTGTCGACGGTGTACCCGGCATGCATGGCGTTTGCGATCGCAAAGAGACGTTGATCGGAAGGAGTCTGTAGTTCATCATCGATGGACATGAGAGCTTTGGTGTCGTTGAATCCCAAATTGTGGAAGTCAATGGCTCGTATAGCCTTTTGAATCGCTTCTTCGAATGTCCGACCGATGCTCATGACTTCTCCGACACTTTTCATAGAGGAACCTAACTGGGTGGAGACACGAGTGAACTTTTTCAAATCCCACCGGGGCATTTTGACAACGACGTAGTCAAGAGATGGCTCGAAGCAAGCACATGTGACTTTCGTGACCGAGTTCTTGATCTCGTTGAGTGGGATCCCAAGGCCAAGCTTGGCAGCGATGAAAGCTAATGGGTATCCTGTAGCCTTCGAGGCGAGCGCGGAGGAACGGGACAGTCGAGCATTGACCTCGATAATGCAATATTCCTTCGAGAACGGGTTGAGCGCATACTGAATGTTGCATTCTCCCACAACTCCTAAATGGCGGATAACGTTCACAGCTGTCGTTCTCAGCATGTTGTAGTCCTCGTCGGAGAGAGTTTGGGATGGCGCAACAACGATCGAATCTCCAGTGTGGATGCCAAGAGGATCGAAGTTCTCCATGTTACAAACGGTGATGCAATTATCTCTGCAATCACGCACAACTTCGTATTCGATCTCCTTCCAGCCCTTCATGCTGCGCTCGATCAGAACTTGAGGACTCGCAGCGAAAGCCTTGTTGCAAAGATCCATCAGCTCTTTCTCGTTGTCGGCGAAGCCGCTTCCAAGTCCGCCCAGAGCGTAGGCAGCTCGCACAATCACTGGGAAACCGATGTCCTTGACGACGCGCATCGCCTCTTCGACGGTGCTAGCCGAGGCGGATTTCGCGCACTTCTCGCCAATCGACTCCATGCTCCGTGCGAACATTTCACGATCTTCGGTTGTGATGATTGTATCGATCGGGGTGCCAAGTACCCGAACACCAAGGCCCTCAAACTCGTCTCTGAGTTGAATACCAACTTGTAACGCAGTCTGACCTCCGAAAGTGACATAAATGGCATCTGGCCGTTCGTGTGCAATCACTTTGCGCACGAATTCCGCAGTGACAGGCAAGAAGTAGACCTTGTCAGCCAGGCCCTCGGAGGTTTGGATGGTGGCGATGTTCGGGTTGATCAAGACGGTGTAGATGCCCTCTTCCTTGAGCGCCTTGATGGCTTGACTTCCCGAGTAATCGAATTCTCCTGCTTGTCCAATGGACAAGCCTCCGGATCCCAAAACTAAAACCTTCTTGACATCAACTTTGGGGTGAAGCGTTGCGTTCTCGGCCGCATCTCCACCCGGGAAGTGCACTGGCTCCAGAAGAAGTTGCTTGTTGCCCAAAGCCGCAACAACCGTCTGGACAAACACATCGAACAGAAATTCGGTATCTCGAGGTCCCGGAGTGCTCTCCGGGTGAAATTGCACACTAAAGTAGGGTCTACTCTTGTGTCGGATACCCTCGTTGCTTCCATCATTCGCGTTGACGAACAACTCAGCCCAGTCTTCGGAGAGAGTTTGTGCATCAACTGCGAAACCATGGTTCTGCGATGTTATGTGGCATTTTCCAGTCACCATGCTTGTGCAGGGGATGTTATGCCCACGGTTTCCAAACTTCATCTTGAGCGTACTTGCGCCAGAGGCTCTAGCCAAGAGTTGATGTCCCAAACAGATACCGAAGATGGGTGTTCTGTTCGCTGCCATGGCTGTAGAGATGTGCTTGACCGTCTTGTCCATCATGATGGGATCACCGGGACCGTTGGAGATGAATAGGCCATCGTAATCCTCGCCTGCAAGAGCCGGAAAGTCGTAGTCCCACGGGCAGACCAGAACCTCCACCCCTCGGCGCAAGAGACATCTCAATTGGTTGTACTTCAGCCCTACATCGAGACAGAGTATCCGAATCGGTCGCCCAGAGGGATGCTTCAGGGCCGTGTCGGGGGCGGGGGTATATAGTTTGGGCTTGCGGATAGAGACTGGGACGAATTAGACCCAGGTCCTTCGTTTGGCCATGTCAAATTTCAGGGCAGGGAGGAGACAAAAAGTTAAGGAGGATGCAAGCGTACCATCGGCGACCAAGTTCTGAGTATTGGGATCCGCCCAGTCGATAGTCTCATACAAGTTTCTCCAGCTTTCTGTAGAGGCAGCGGTCCCATTGGTATGTCCATTCGTTTGACCATTGGTCCAGCTTCCCTTTTTCGCCAATAGCCGTCCGAGCATGCTGCCCTCCTCTCGAATCCTCTTGGTGAGAGCTCTGGTATCGATACCGTAGATAGCCGGCACTCCCTGTTCCTTCAACCATGTACCCAGCGAAGAGGACGCCAGGTGGTGGGAGAAGTCGTCTCCTGCGTACGAGGCTGTCACCAGACCAGCAATGTGGATCTGAGAAGATTCGAAATGGGCCGGCAGATCTTCGAGGAGCTCGTCCATGGTCTCTCGAGAGGGAACGCCATAGTTGCCGACCAGAGGGAAGGTGATGACGAGAATTTGGCCGCGATAGGAGGGGTCGGTGATGGACTCTGGGTAGCCCACCATGCCGGTCTGGAAGACCAGCTCACCGGCAATGCTCTTACCTTCGGCACCAAAACTGTAGCCCTGGTACACGGAGCCATCCTGGAGCTCCAAGGCCATGATCTTGTCACCGCCCAATGGCGCGGCTACCGGCTGGTACCGACATGGCTGTCCGGGCATTGCGGCGGAGATGGTGGTGAAGAGGATGATCTGGAGAAAGTACAATCAGCGCAGATGAGGTACAATCAAGAGAGAGAGTACGTTCAGCGAAGATGAGGTACAATCTGGAGAAAGAAGAATCCGCGAGGAGGAAGTAAGACTTGGACTTGGAGCGAGAGTCCCATCGATTGGCGAAGAGGCAGAAGATAAGTATGGGAGGGAGAAAAAAAATGCGAATTTTTTAAAGTTTTGGGACCGGGATCATTGGCGGGGTGTTGGCGTTCTTGAGGTCAACCCTACAGTACCGGTACCGTAGCCCTCAATTACTAGAGTACCATAGCGTATGGCTAATGCGATAGCATGTGGCTACAGCGCATGTGACTCGCTACTCGCTGTACCAATAGCGCAGCGAAGGTTCCGTAATATCATGATTGTTATCATTATTAGGCCTTGAGGGGATAGGAAGTTGGGGATACACCTAACTTCGGAGGTACAAGATGCACCAAATGAAAGTGATCACCTTTGCTGTACGGAATTTATACTGTAGCGTTTGGCGCTCCTCCAACGGTGGCCTAAGGCACTTAAGGCACTTCGGCTATCTTGTTGACACCGATTTAGTCACATTTCCTCCGTAGTGGTACCGGTAATGCTACGGAGTATAACAATTTGATCGTGAACGCACTCGATTAAAGCTTTTGCAAATGGTCCCACCCCGATTTATGATAACAAGTCTTTTTCTACCTATCCATTCCGAGTTGATTGCAATAGAAAGGTTGGTGGTACGTCAACTGAGCACGGAATGGTCGCAGGAGAGAGTTTTGTTATTGATTTAGCAGAGCGTTCACCAAGAGAATCCGAGAGGAGGGAAGCATGCGGGGACGGCTATTAGCGCAAAAAGGAAGCTTGATCAATAGTCATACGATTAGATACATTAATTAATGGGACCGCTGCCTTTATTAAAAACCGGAGGAACTTTTATGAGATTCTCGATTAAGTGGATTCCAATGCTTAGAGCTTGGCTGACTAATCCCCATCTGACCCATGCTGACCCACCATGATCTACGTCAACTTTCGACCGCCAATCATTTTTTAAACTTCAGAAAAAGATTTTCCTTTCAAATTTTTCAAATGCATATTTTTTTTCGTTTTTTTCTCCCCAAGAATCGAACCTTTCCGCTTTAGCTTGCGCCATATGGAGGTTATGGGGTTAGTGATGTCACCGCCTTTACCCTTGCTTTACAAAGCAGAATCGATAGCAGAATATTTCACTATAAAAACTCGTCCTGGCGGAAGTGAATCCGCTAACGCCCATGATGCAAAAGAAGTAAATTTGATTATAAACTAATTATAGGGAGCTTCCCATCGATATATACCGCTTTAGAATACGGTCCTCGGACGTATTACCGCCCTGAGCCGACGGCGGTGCTTCGTCAACATCTCTCGCGCTTATACTTCTTCCCCGATCAATTTGCGCAAAGTCGACTTCACTTATCGACCTTGGCAAGTCTTTGCGTTTCTGCCTATGTCGATTCTCCTTCTCCCTGCCCTTACCCTTTTCTCTTCTGTAGTCGAAGGGATCGTTCTCGACGGAGCTGTTGCCTGCTGTACGCATACCCCTGAACTCGCGGACGACCTCTTGGAAGCCCTCTTCCAGTGTTTTCATTCGTGCTAACATCAGTCGGCCCATCATCCTCTCGGTATCCTCTTCCCTACTATTACTCTTCCCTTTGCCGAAACCTTTTAGACCTCCGGTGGCCAACGCCATCTGCGTTGCGAAAGAACTCGGTACAGCGCCAAGGGCACCCGGTGCGTTATGATCGAGTCCAATCTCGGACAGACCCATATCGAGGCTCGACCTCCGATGGCGGATTTGTCGTGTGCGGGTACCCTTTCCGGCGAGTTGGGAGTTCATATTGAAGTTCGGAACGGACTGGAAGTCGTTTCGGTTCGGCATGATAGGACGGGGTTTCGTTTTGGTAGCGAGGGCGTAGACGGATTGCTTGGGTGTTCCGTGAATGGGCGTAGGAGTTACAGTATTGGTGGTGGAGCGGAACTTTGCTGTCAAGGGTCGGGATTTGGGTGGAGACGCCGAAGATTGGCTGTCCGAGATGGGATTGAATAATATAGTGCCAGTCGACATGGTACGATCATGTGAGCGGTGTTGTAGAGGCGGAGAGGACCTTGGTGGGGCCGGATTCTGTCTTCGCGAAGAAGCAGACGAGGAGAGATGAGGCTCGAGGAATCGACTTGCTTTAGGCGTGGTAAAGTAGCTTTCGAGGTCCCGCTCTTTGTAGGATGTTGCCATGCGGCTTCGCGAACGTGTAGTCTGTCTCTCCAACTCGTTCTCGTCGGCTGTAGCAAGCTCGTCGTCTCCGTCCTCGTCTGACTCGTTCTCGTTCTCGTGACCCGGAGTGGTGTCAATATCGTTGAAGCCACTTCTGGAAATGAAGTCGGCAGGATCGCTCGCCACAGATCTGGTCCCGGAAATGCCACGTTGCCGCAACATAGTTGCCTTCCTCGCCCTCCTCCGCATCTCGAGTCGATCAACGATGGAGCGATCCTGCTCTTGGGGCGGGCTCGCATTCGACCCTTGATCCATCCAGTTGTTGACTACATTTTGAGTCTGTCTCCTTTCAAAACTCTTTCGATGGGAGCGGATGGTATCAGGACGAGGGGCGAGTCTGAAAACATCATCTAGAGCATTGTCTTTCTGGTATCCAACAACAGACCCGTGGCGCATGCGCACCGAGGGACTGAACAAGGCCATCTTCGCATCCTGGAATGAGACTAGTCTCTTGCGCCCTTGATGCTCCACGAGATCGGTGGGCTGGAAGACGGAGCGGGCGAGGAACATCTGCTCGTAGGCGTATATTGTAAAGAGTAGCGGAAAATGGGTGACTTTGATCACAGTCCTGTTTAGTCGGATAAATGATCGGAATGGAAGGACGTATCTCAGCGGGGTCAATAGCCAAGCAGCAATGTTGCTCGGCGCCACGTAGGAGAACAGTGCATCGTTCTTGACCATGCTGATGGTGTTGACAGCAAAGACAAACTGGTGTTCTTGGTCGGCATTCGAGACAATGGCCATGAACGAATTGGTGAGCACTGTGATGAGGATGGTGACGACCAGGAAGTGACAGATGAACAAGAAGAGCACCAGCAGGGCCTTTCCTAGTGGATTGTAGGTCGGCCAGGCCTCCCAGGCCGCGGGAGTGAATCCCATGAGGATTTGAAAAATCTTGTATGCAACGCCGGCAGCATCGTATTCGGAATCTCCAAACGACAGAGTGAACGCAACGAAGAAACCACTGCAGGCAATTAGAATCAACACGAAAACCGCCACAAGATCTATGGCCATCAGGCGGAAGGCGATCAGCAGCTGCGAGAAGTATCGGTAGTGGTCAAGCACGCTGAACAGCCGAGGGAAGAGCAGGATAGCGTTGGTCGCAAGAACATCATAAGCCATGCTGTTCCACTGCTGCCGTCCAACACCGACCAGCAAAACGCCGTACAGTCGCATACAGTAGTATATCGATAGCAGGAACAGTATTCCCAGGTCGAAAGCATTCCAGAAACTCATGATGTAGAGGCCGAAACCTTGCTCGTTGAATCCCACCACCTCGTCTAACATGAACCCTGCGCTCCAGAACCAGAAGACAACTTCAAGGGTCGTGATCTCGGTGGACCTCTGGGCCAGTACGGCAACGAAGAGACACAGGAGGATGAATAGGGAGCACGTCGAGAAGAACTGACGATATCGAGGGACTCGGAGTCTGGACAGCTTGAAGAGGGAGGCGTCTCGAGGGTCGTACAGGGTGACTGTCCGCCTCGCCTGGACCGCTTGTTCGTGGTGTTGCTGCATTGCCTTATCCAGGGGCTTGGGCGCATTGGTGGTCCCATAACCCGTGGTCACTTTGATGAGCGGCGTTTCGCTATCGGTCGGCCTCGACTGTGGTATCCGGGGACTCACCGGCCGTGATCTATGCAGATGGTCCGCCACCGAGTGGAAGACAATCGTACCGGCCCAGATCGCCTCCAGTTGCTGCACCACCAACGGATGGGCCAGGAATCGTTTCGCCGATGCTCGAATGGCCACCTCCAGAGTCGAAATTCGCGCAGCCGCCGGGCGAGGTCGCTGCTGCCCTCCATTTTGCCCCGGAGTGAGGATCACAGGCGTTGCCAGTCCTTGGAGGGGGAAGAAGTCGTATGACAGGGCATCGATCAGCTCCCTGGTATTATACTCCTTCAGCAATTTGATGGCGATCAGCTCGCAGACCAAGGCCCTCGTCTTGCTGTTACCCGCATTCCCGGGATTTGCCTGGCTCTCTTTCTGGAACTGCAGAGAGTTTGCCATTAAAGCGTAGAGAGTTGCGCGGTTGAAATGGGATGTCCGGATCTGCTGCTGCATCGGCTTGACCAGGAACTGCGAGACCTGGGGCGAACGCAGCTGATCCCAGGTCAGGGTGGTTTCCGTTCGGGGGAGAACGATCAGGCGGATGGCATGCGTGAGGTTGTATATTGGGAGGGCGTCTGTGTCGTGGGATTGGGATTAGCAATAGGCGTAGCAACCACACCGAAGAGGATATTGACTTTTCATCTTCCAAAAGGACATGGTGAAAACCCAGCGTCTCTGCGACCATGAGACAATCACAATAGGGGAGGCCAACCTAGATGCGCGGCCGAGAAGATGGGCAGCAGAGGAGAATGCGAGTCTCCGTCTTCATGCTCCGCGTCCCCATCATCGTCTTCGCCTTCGTCCCCTTCCCCGTCCGCATCCGCGTCCTCCTCACCCTCATCAACAGTATCCTGCTCTTCTTCTTCTTGTTCTTCTTCTTCGCTATGCTCGTCCTCGTCGTCGTCCTCGGTGAAGTCTGCTGCGGCGTGCCCGGCGTAGGGCGAGGAAAAGGGCGATGATTGTTCGGCGCGACGACGTGCTCTCTGGGGCCGCAGCAGAGAAGAAAGCATATCTGGAATTGACTGCAGTGACTCTGGTTCGTGTCCGGCTTCTTGCCCATATGTCCCGGTGGAGTTGCAGATACCGACAATGAACGATCAGAGGGGAGTTGGTGGAGTAATTTGTAGGCAAGTACGGAGGTACTTTCCGTACGGTACTTTCCGTACTGACTAGTACTGCGATTGAAGTAGCTAAACAAGGCGGCGGGCTCGGTTCGAAGTAAATAAATCAAACTCCGTCAGTGACTAATGGTCACTGCAGGGAGATTTGAAGTGGAGTAGGAGTGGGGGCAGTGGATGGTCGATGCTGATCATGGATCTTGGCCACGTCCAAGGCTTGTTAGTACAAACATATGGACTTGTGGTAAGGCGGGAATAGCCTCATTCATGCATTCATGAATTGGAATGGGTGAGTGGGTGAGTACCGGTAGGTGAGTGGGTGTGTAGGTGTGTGGGTTGTGTGGGTGTATGGGTGTGTCGGTGAGTGGATTGATGGAATGGGACGGGATGGAGTGGCACATGATCTACTCGATAATGCGGGATGGACCCGAACGAGGAAGATGGGATACAGCCATAGTAATAAGGGACATACTGTATAATTGTAATAAGTAATTGTATATCATAATGCAGATGCAGATGCAGATGCAGATGCATATAAACTGTGAATGCACGCAAGACAGGCATCTGTGCCGATCTGATAAGAGTATCGGGAAGAAAAGTGCCAATTATATCGGGCGTGTGGATCACCCAGCTCACCGCTTATTAGGTATGATTACTGCTTTTACAGAAAGCTAGAGGAGCTTAATCGTTGGCTCGCAGTTGAACGAATGGTCTCAAAGGTGAAAAGATCGATGTATTAGCTGTATGACAATACGCCAGATCTCTTGGATATTATTCTCGCGTGCGCCAAGCTACTGTCAAAAGGTAGCTTTGAAGACAGGCAAAGATAGAACAATAAGAGTATAGAAGTATGTATTGGTAGTGAACTGATTTCTGGGGCTCTAAAGAACACCTTCGGATCAGTGTATATAATTCTACGCTATTATCAAAATAGAACTCCTTAATATCCTAGACTTAAATACGATGCGAGATTATAATACGCATTATTAGAATCTTTAACTTATCGGATCCTCATCTTAATTATAAGTGAACGAGGGCTTTCCGATAATTAAACGGATATTGAATACCCGAGTAAAGTATTCTTGTCGAGCGTAACATGGTAAACCTATAAGGTATTATTATCACGCATGACAGCTACCTTAAAGGGGAATGCAGGGGCTTTTAGACGGTCAGCTGATCGTTTGATAACCATCTCTTTTAGGGACGATTTTAATAGGTTGGCATGGCTGGTAGATCACCTTAGGCCGATACTTAAGGGTGTGTATGGCTCGCAGATGCAAGGCAAGTTGCATTACCAAAATATTCTTGCATTTCCAAGTTGCA